TCCTGAGTGCTGAGGCTAAAAGTGTGTACCACCTGCCCAGCTGATTCCTTATGAATTTTAATATGGTTCTTTCTAGCTCTGTGAAGAATGTCATGGGAATTTTGATTAGCATTGCATTGAATCTATAGATTGCTTTTGGGAGGATCATCATTTTCATGGCATTAATTCTCTCAATCCAAGAGCATGGTACCTTCTAACATTACCTGGTATCTTCCCCTATCTCTTTCTTTAAAGATTTAAAATTTTCATTGTAGAGATCTTTAATGCTTTGATTAGGTTTATTCCTAGATTTTTTTAGAACTATTGTGAATAGGAGGGTTTTCATGAATTATTTCCCTGGTTGCTTGTTATCCATATATAGAAAGGATACTGATTTTTTTGTAAGTTGGTTTTTTAACCTGGCACTTTGTTGAAAGTAGTGATCATTTCTAGCAGTTTTCTGGTGGAATTTTTGGAATTTCTTATGCATAATATGTTATTGTCTGCAAATAATGATAATTTGATCTCATCTTTACCCATTAGCAACTCCTTTAATTTCCTTCTCTTGTCTTACTTTTCAAGCAAGAGTTTCAAGTACTGTGTTGAAAATGAGTGGAGATAGTGGACATCTTTCTCTGATTCCTAATTTTAGCGGGAATGCTTATAGTTTTTCTCTGTTTAGAATGATGTTGTCTGTGGGTTTGTTATACATAGCTTTAATTATGTTGAGGTATGCTCCCTCCAGTCAAATTCCCTGTAGGACTTTTAACATGAATGCATGCTGAGTTTTATCACAACTTTTCTGCATCTATTGAGATGACAATGTGAGTTTTGTCTTTATGCCCTACATGATTTGTTAAATTTATTCACTTACATTATTGAACCATCCCTGTATCTCTGGAATAAAGGTAATTGAACCATGGTGGATGATCTTTTTGATGTTTGTATGTTTGCCATTTGCAACTTTTGGGTTGAGAATCATTGCAGTTACATTCATTAAGGATACAGGACTATAGTTTTCTTTTTGTTCTGTCTTTACCTGGTTTGGTATTAGAGTGATATTGGTTTCATAGAAGGACTTTGTGAGTTCTCCCTCTATTTATATCTTTTTGAATGACTTAAGAAGTATTGGTGGTAGATATTATTTGAATATCTGGCAAAACGCCTGCTGTCAATCAATCTGGGACTTTTTTAGTTTGGAGATTTTGAGTTGTTATTTCAAGTTCCTTATTTGTTGAGGGTCTGTTTAAGCTGTTGATCTCTAATTGTTTTAGCTTTGGTGGATCCCATGATTTTAAATATCCATTCATTTCATTTAGGATATCAAATTTAATAAAGTATAGGTTTTTAAAGTATTCCCTTACAATGTTCTGGAATTTTTGGTATCTGTTGTTATGTTTTCCTTTTCATCTCTGATTTTGTTTATTTGGATTTGCTCTTTCTTTCTTTTGGTTAACTTTGGTCTGTCTTGTTTAACTTTTCAAAATACCGGTAGTCTGTGTAGTTTTGAGAGCTTCTGAAGGCTCTCTGGGCAACAGCTTAAAGGAAACTAACATGAAACTGATGCTGGGGTTTTGATTTTGAAGCCTATAGCTTCTAGGAGCAGCTTTATCCATCCACATAGAGTATCTCCATTTGAACATCTTATTTTTTAATGGTAAAAATAGTTGTCAAGCTGGGTGTGGTGGCACATGCCTTTAATCCCAGCACTTGGGAGGCAGAGGCAGGCGGATCTCTAAGAGTTCAAGGCCACCCTCGTCTACATAGTGAGTTCCAGGACAGCTGGGGCTACCCTGTCTCAAAAAGACCAAAAAAAAATAGTTGTCAAGCTAAAGTGGATCAAGAATTAATATTTATCACATACAAACAACAAAAAGTAGTATAAAAAAACAAATATTACAATAAATAAAAGCTACGGAAATGAACAGAACATTCTCCAAAGAAAAGATACAAATGGTTAATTACTTTTAAGGTTGTTCAACATCCTGGTCCTTGAAGAGACTCCAAATCAAAACTACTTTGGGACTGCATCTCACCTCAGTAAGAGTAGTCATTATGAAGAAAATAAAAGTAGTCCAGGATATAAAGAAAGGGAAACCCATTTACACTATTGATAGGAGTGTAAATGATGCAGCCAAAATGGAAATCAGTGTGGATGTTTCTCAAAAAGTTAAAAATAAACTATCATACAACCCAGCCATCACACTCCTGGGCTTATTCCCTGCAGGGCGGCTCGGGCCAGCTGCGGGAGGCTCTCCCTTTGCTCGCGGGTCGTTGGCCACCATTCCACGAGGGCAGGGAGAGCAGAAGCGGCAAACAGGGTCAGAACGGCCAGTGGGTGCTGACGGAAGACAGCTCTTCCGGGGAAGCTGATCACAGGCTGGTCCCAGGCACAGTGAAACAACAATGACAAAGCTCCAGGCACAGTGAAAAACAGCTCCATTTATTAGTGGGAAAACTAGAGAATTTATAGTGTGGAGGCAGTAGCAAAAGCCTCAGTTGATAGGTGCTCATAGTATGCTTTATTCACATGTGGCAGTGGGCTCCTATCTTCCAGACTATCAGACAATGCCTGATTATCATATAGAAAAAACCTGGGAGTAGTTTTTACTCCAGGTAACTATGCCAAAGGTCATGTTTCAGATAAGGCATCTGTGTTTGGCAGCACTTCAAGGTGAGCCAGGAAGAGAGCAGGAGGCCCCCTGCTGGAAAGGGGAATTTTTCCATTTGGCACTGAGCCCCTCAGGGCTATCTGGACATGGAGAAACTACAACCCTAACAGCAGGGTTTCCCAACAATTCACAAATGAATGGGTACCTGATCAAAAAGATACTGGCACATCTGTTTATAGTTTCTCCATTCACAATAACTAAGAAATGGAACCAGCCTAGATTGTGATCAGATGATAAACAGATAACAAAATAGGCTTCATGTGCACAATGGAATTTTGTGGCTTTTGACTGTTTGATTGCAATGTACTTTGTACTAAGATGATTTGGATTTGTTTTACGGAGTTCTATTCACTGGATCCATGTTGTAGGGAAAGAATCAATTCCTGTAAATTGTCCTGTGACATCACATTCATGCACACCATTCCACATTTGTACTCACACATATACACATATAAATGAACAAGCTGTAATTTGATGAAAATATTGGCTTCTGCAAATGTCTCACTGGACCTATTAGGACTGTTTCCTTCTTTATCTACTTGCTGAACTAAAACTGAAAAGCCAGTGGCTAATGAAAATCATCCAATTATAGACTGAATCTTTGTCCCTATCCTACAAAATTCACATGGTGAAACCCAAACTTCAATATGATATTTGGGTACGGGAATTTGGGAAAGTAATTAGATTATGAAGCTGGGGTCCTAATGAATGTAATCGATGCCTTCAGAGAGTGAAAACTTTCTATTCCATGTGAGGAAATGAGGTGGTGTCAGTCAGTGTGTAAACCACAACAGGGCATTCACCAGAAGAGATTATGATGACTTCAGCTATCACATGTCAAGCTTTGGGAGCTGTTTGAAATAAATCTGTTAAGCTACGCAGTGTCTTATACTTAATTAGGGCATCCAAATCTGACCATGGAATATCTCCAGCTTTGCTGTCCCTTTACCCTGCCCCTAATATCTATTTCCACACACCACATATCAATTTAGAACAAAACTCATGAACATGTAAACAATGTGCACTCTCTCCAATCTGTTCTGTAACGTGTTCAAACCACTGTTAGGGACCACAGAAAGCTCTCTTCCACAGGCTGATCTCACTCTAAAATCTTTAATAAAGGTTAAGTATAAATTTTCAGTTCACATTTTAGCATTCCGCAGAGTGAAATAAATTTTCTAAGTATTTTTAAAAGAGCAGGAATAAACCTAAAAGACACCTATAAATTGGAAAACTAAATTAAATTTAAAATTGCAGAATAATTTTCATAACTAGGACATCAACGATAGCCACCAAATCATGAATTGAGAATTCAGTGAATTGAACATATCCAAGAAAACTTGTTCTTCCTTTAGTAGCATTCTCAAGGTCTGGGTTCAAAATGATACAACTGAAATAACACACACAGAAAAAAAAGAAATTGAAACAAATATATCCAATTTATTATAATAAGTCATTATATTAAAATTAAAGGTTTCCTCATATAAAGTGAAAATTCTAAGAATAATAATTATGTTTATTCTTTTCAGTATTCCTAACTTTATTGACTATAATGTGTACATACATGCTGATATGAGAAATTATGAGAGTCATGATTCATGGAGGTTTGGGCTAATCTTTCTCAGCAACTACTTGTATTGGATTAAAACGGTTATTATTTCTCCAGTTTTGTGATCTAGAATTACCCACAGGTCATATTGTGCTCAAATCCTGGGTGCGGGGGAGACAGACAAGACTGCATTCCTTTCTGAAGGCTCTAGTGGAAAATGTGTTTCCTCTCCGTCCCCAGAGGCTGAAGATATTTTGTAACTGTGGACAAACTTCAACCTTCAGTATTGACAATATAACCTCAACTTCCCATGGGCATTTATTTCTCAGTTTCTCTTGGCAAAATCTTAACAATTTCTCAGCTTTTAAGAGTTGTGGTGATTTTAATGTGAACACTAGGATAATCAACATATACTGAATCTTACTCACATATGCAACGTGTCTTTGCAATGTAAAAAAGTGTACTAGAGGTCTCAAGTAGTTTGAAGAGGACAGTTTTCTTACAACATTCACAAGTCTCTCACAGTGCTCCTGAAGTTAGAATTGCACAGAAGCATTTTAGGTAAAAAGTACTCAAATCAATCGGTTTTTGAAATTATTGTAGTTGACTCAGGATTATGAATGTATAAACCCATTTCTACAAATTTAAGTTGATGATTTATCTACACTCTGACACTGAACACTTCACATGTGAAAAAGAACATGTATAATTGGAAATACCATCAAAGGTGTTAATATAAAACATTCCATGAAGCTTTTCTACATGCTATGACTGTTTCTCCCTACAGAACTCATAATAAACTACTTTCCATAAAAGTTCCACAAAGCAGCTTTGATTTCCTTATTTCTTAGGCTGTATGTTACAGGATTCAAAGATGGAGGCATCGCAAAATAGAGAACAGATAACAAAAAATCCCAAATCCGTGGGGAATCAGGAAATGGTTTCAAATAAGCAGTGAAAGTTGTGACTAAAAATGTGGTGATGACTATGAGATAGGGTGTGCAAGTAGAGAAGGCTTTCGACCTCCCTTGTGACAAGGGCATTCTCAGCACCATGTAGAAAATGTAAACATATGAACATACTATGCACACTAAGCAGAAACATCCATACCCAGCTCCAGTGAGTACACTAATGTCAACAACGATGTGCATCTTTGAGCAAGAAATCTTCAGTAGAGATGGGACATCACAGAAGAACTGTGGCACTTTTCTGGAACCACAGAAAGATAAAGAGAAGGTGCCATATGAATATAAGGCCCCAAAAAGATTTCCAAAAAACCAAGAAGCAACTACCATCTGCACACAGACTGCCCTGTTCATGATGGCATCATACTGTAGTGGGTGACAGATGGCCACATAGCGGTCATAGGATATGGTTGTGAGGATGGAAATTTCAGTTGCAACAAAGGAAACCACAAACAAGACCTGACACACACATCCTGGGAAAGAGATAGTGCTCCTGTGAGACAAAGAGCTGAGAAAGAGCTTTGGGACTGTGACCGAAATGAAGCACACATTGGAGAAGGACAAGTTCTTCAGGAAGAAGTACATGGGGGTGTGAAGACACTGGTCCACAGTGACAAGCATGATGATGAGAAAGTTCCCCCTGAGGGATACCAAGTAAATCAGCAGAAACAGAAAGCCCTGGAGTACCTGGAGCTGCTTGCTGCCAGGGAATTCCATGAGGAAGAAACCTGCATTCACTGTGTGGTTTGTCATGTCATCCCGCTGTTCAACTACTGTGAGACAAAGGAAGGAAAAGACATGTGAGGAGCTCATGTTGAGCCTTCCTCTTGTCTATCAATGCACTTTTCTCTATTTACCACTGAGTCATGTTTATAAAACATAGCCATTTTTACAATGCTGACTCAAGCAAGGTTCTTATGAACTTTTTAATATGCCATTCTCAGTACAGTTTATAATAGCACATAGAGTAAGAAGTTTAGACAGAAATATTCTAACTATATTAGTTGCCTTGACCTGCTTATTGACTAGCTTTTTATACTATTTTCCTGAATTATTAATTGATGTTCTAGATAATCATGGCTGAAAACAGTAAATTCATAAACCCACTGAGCGAATATAATCTGAATCACTTTCTAAATGATCCTGCTTTGAACACTAAGTTACATAAGCACAGGACATAAAAAGTCTTATTTTGTGGGATAATTTTTTTCAAATGCAAAATGGGAAGGTATGTAAGTCAGTGAAACTGTTTTGTACTTGAAGATTCAAATCCCTGGCTGTCATTCACAGTACCAAGGGGGGTAGGGGGAAGGCAACAGAGACAAAAGAGTGAAGAGCATATTAATAGCTCTATGATTATATCATTTTACTGAAAAATACAATAGTGATGGATCAGTGAGAGAAGCATATGGTTATCAGGAAACAGTAACCTCTTGTAACACAAGAATCTCTTCTCAATCACTCTCTCTCACTGTCTCCTCCTTTTCCTCTCTCTCTCTCTGTGACAGATGTATAGACTTCACTCAAATAATGTTTATACTATTATAACATCAAGATGGAAGCAAATAGTACCAATAGACTAGATGCTAAAAAATACTTATAAGAAGTAGAAATAGATAATGGTGAACAATATCACAGAGTAGAAATGAACCTTTCAGCAAAGCCAAGTAACTACTGTGAGGAATAATAAAATACAGGAACTATTTTGTAGAGAATACAGGCTAACTGTTTTGTGGCACTATGGTGTGAACAAATGTCTACCCACAGATAGAGAGCAATTACAGATCAATGTAAGGCTACAACCAAGTCCAGCTTGGTGAACCAGTGACTTTGATGGGGGTGCTTACAGGAGTCCGGATGAGGCTTTACTTAGAGGAGGAGATATTATTCAAAAGCTGCTACAACACCAAAAGCCCATCTAAGCATAAGTGACAGCTCATGAAAACATGAAACCTTAAGGCAAATGTCAACAGGTTGGGGCATGTTCTTTCCAGGCAGTGCGGTTGGTCTAAGCCCCTTCTAGCAGCTCAGCTGTTTGCTGCTTCTTTCAGGAAGCTCTGCTTATCTGAGGGTGCCACTCTGCAGTTTGAGGGATGGAGGGGCTAAGTGAACCTGCTCATATTTAGGGACTCCTAATCCTGTTGAATTGTTTATTTTCTGAGCTTAAGGAGCTTCGCTGGAGGATGGAATGTTTCCCTCATCTCAAAATAGTCTGTTGTTTACTCAGCTTCCCTTGGAAGAAGGAAGTTTTGTTGTTTTTCTCAGAAATCGCTACAGAACAGTAACACTGAGTTGAAAAATGTAAGGAATTTCAAAATACATGGGTGTTTATCTATACCATTTATTTTCTAAATGCAACCATATACTTCTTAACTTCTGCCCAACTTTTTACATAAAAGATGGAATTAATAGAGTTGTACAATATTGAACTCAGTATAAACCCTGTAAGACATAAAATTTAATGTTTTTAACCTTTAAAAAAGATCTCCATTTCATTTTAAAATATACTGCTTCCTACAGAAAGACTCATTTTTGATGCTACTAACACTTAGATGTTTGTACATGCATCTATAATCTCTATGTATCCGATTATTACTAGTCGCAGTCTGTTACACTCAGATACTTGGCACCGGAGTATCGATATAAAGTCAAGCAGATTTCAATGGTAATGTTTATCACCGCTACTAATTAACATGAAGTAAATTTTTATACTTCCTCCTCACATATAACTCATTTATTTTATTTGTTGATTTATTGTGTTTGTAGCATACAGAACATCCCAAACAATCTTATTCATCTGTGTATTGATTCAACTGTGAACTTAAAAATTTGCAGCCACTTTTGAAAGAGATGTATCTTTGCTCTGGAAATTGTTATTGAGTATGTTAAAGCTGTCAAGGAATGCTTCTTCTAATCATGAGTTTATTAAATACATTTTTTAAAGATGGAATTAATACCTGTTCCTGCTAAGACAGCAGAACCTTTATGAATCCTAGATATCAAGGATGACACATGTGAGAGAGTTAGGAAATGACTTTTTCAATTCTAAACCTAGAATTCATCAAAGCAGATGACGATATATCATCTTATTGTGAAGGATATAACAAGCGGATATTTCTCTTGGTCTGCAACAAGAAAAAAGGTGAGATGCAGTGAAGGAGTTTGCCTCCTTGAGCTTTTCAGAGTAAGTAGGAGACACTGTGCTGTGGATGGAGAGGCCTTGCCCCAAAGTGCCACAAAGTAAGAGACCTTAGCACTCCTAAAGACTGTGTAGAAAGCTTTGCTCATTTTATTAATATAAAAGTATTATTAATAATACTTTTATATTTTGGAGTTGTTTCTTCGTCTAGATATTAAACATTGTGGTATTTAAAAGTTCTATAGAACGCATATTCTCATTTGTCTTCCAAAGGCTCATCAGAATGGATACCATGAATTCTAAGAAATAAGTACAACTGAAATAAAAGAATCAGGAGGAAATGTCAAAAACTTTGAAATCTTTTTCTTCCACACAATTTCAATTCTGTGACTCCAAAGAAACTTCCATCTTGCAGATAGCCTTATTGAGTTTATGCTCATAAGATCACTGATCCAATTCTATATCTGTGAAAACACTCTCTGGAGAGACTTGGATACCATGTTTCAACCCTGTTTGGACCCCACAGCAATCCTTTCTGTTTAGTGCTTGCATTGTTGCAATAGTATATGGAGAAAAAAGGTCTGAGAATTAACAATTATTCATCTTCATACACATGAACAATAGGAAAAGATATCTTTCCATTATCTGTATCTGCCTTCAGTTTCTTTATTATTTTGTATGCAAGATGGGTGATGACTCATTGACATTTATTTATTTATTTATTATTGCATTTATGAAGGTTTTGCCTGCAAGTATGTAAGTGCACCCATGTGTGCAATGCATGCAGAGGACAGAAGAGGGATTCAGATCTCCCTGAAACTGAATTTATGAATAATCGTTAGCCACTATATGGATGCTGAGAATCTAACCAGGGTCCTCTAGAAGAGCAGCCAGTGCTCTTAACTGCTGGACCATCTCTCCAGCTACTCATTGTGAACTTTTAATCTAATTTTTGCTGGTGTGTGTGCTAGATGACTTTTTATTTCCTCTGTTTGAAATACTATTCAGCATAGCTCTATGGCCTGATTCAAACATGTGCAGTTTGTTCCAGTACATCTCAAAAATGACCATTTGACTGTTGTACTACAGGATAATGGACAAGGAATTACAAACAAAGACTTTGAGCTTTGTCAGTGTGGTTTTCAAGAATATCCTGAGAAAGTTAAGGAAGAAAAGGCAGGTGTGACTACCTTCCAACCCAAGTAACTAAGAAATCTTTCTCTGCTGGGGAAGTGATCAACATTCTTACCCAGCTGTGAACCTAATTAACTGCACTAAGGACCAATGTGGTAAGAAATGGCCATGGATGAAATAGTGGCCTAAATGTTATGGGGTAATCAACTGCTTTGTGATCAGATTTAAGGTCCACACTTTATGAGGAAACAAATGCCTGGAACTGTGAATCTGGCTAAGAGTGCATGGTTTGAGAGCTTATAGGCCCTAGGGGTGAACATATTACTACTGTTCTGCTAAATGGACATAGTATTAAGTTGCTCTTTAAAGGTGTCTCTTTCTATCCATAGATTAGTACAGCTCTAAGACCTCATCAGAGAAGATTCATTGTACAATGGACAGTGGTTAATGAGGAAACTCATTGAGAAGTGCAGAGAGTAAGTTTCAGTGGAGTGTACTGACCACAAAAGGGACATCTACAGCACATCCACTCATGAAGGTTCAGGGATCATCACAGAAAAGGGAGTAGAAAGATTATAAAAGCAAGAGTTTGAGGAGGTCTCTTCTGGACATAACAGGAATCCTGTTCTTGTGATCTCACTGCAGCTGTGTTTGCCTGCAGGAGATCAATAGTCAATATTCCAACATGACCTGGGAAAAGGTTCCTGAGCCCCAACCCCTATGTGAGGTTATATGGACAGTTGATGATTCTGGAGATGAAAAGTCATTTATCTGGGTGTAGCTTCTGATAGGCCCACCACACTCCAGCAGATGGTTCAACACCCAGGAGTATATAGCAGCAAAAATTGGATTCAAAGTGTTAAGAAAAATAAGGACATGAATCTGGAGTGGGGATGGTAGTGGGTTGGGGTGGATATTGGAGGAATTAGTTTAAAAAGTGAGGAATGAATGTGATCAAACTGTGTGTATTAAATACTCAAAGCATTAATTTAAATTTTAAAAAATAAATGAAATTTTCACAAATGACAATTAGCCTAATTTGATCATTTCTGCTTTTATAATTGCATCAACATATCACACTGTACCCTGCATATATAAAATATATTATATAATTTTAATTATTTTAATTGGGAATTAAGGTGAACACATCAAAGAAAATTTGGATTTTGTATGATCAGCTTTTGCTTGAAAACACTCATATATAAAATAGACTTCTCTGCATTTATGAGGCAGTACACCAACCTCCCCACTTCCATTTCTAAAATCTTATGAAACAACAGAATTCAGACTTACCTGGCAGGATTCAAACTGATAGGTCTGCTTTACTCCACAGCCCTTCTACTAACCACTGTGTGAGAGAGAAACTCAATGGCTTGAATTTATCAAAAGTGTTCATCTTTTTAATGAGTTAAAAAAAAATCAGTGGTGACTCATCACCCCCTAGGGAAAACAATGGATTTCAGAAGAAGCAAAATTGCCATGGGGCTATGACTGCAGTTCTTCATGAACAATTATTCACCCAGGATATTAATGGTGTGCA